TGATTATAAATTATAATTTTACCGCCAATTATTTTGTCAATGAACATATCCAGATGAATAAGCGAGCTTTCAAAGAACATCTTGCATTTTTATTCATTGCTTTTTACCTATCGTTTTATCATGGAGAAAAAAACATCCTTTTTCGTCTACCACATACTGCCTCTTTTACACAAATGAATCAATCACATTTATTCTTCTAACTCAAGATGAAATACAAATCCCAGTAACAGGGAAGCATTTTTCTATTGTTTTAGATATTAAACCGACTATTGTATATTGTATTATATTTGGCTACTGGACCTTATTTCGATATATAGCGGGGTTGACATTGGAAGTGTAGTATTTTGATAGAATAACATCACTTGGTGATTTGAATTTTTGTTAAGACCACACTTAAAAGTGGCACTAAAATGAGCTTCTCTATCCTAGGACTGCCTTGATCCATCTCAGCTGCTATTTGGTCTGTTTTGGTACAGTAAGGGATTCGACACCCAGTTTATTGAGAGATTCAGGGTTGCCTTTACAGTTTCAAGCCTCTAACCCAAATGATAATCCGAGTAACTGGTCACCTATACTGACCATTTTTATACTCAAATGACAGACACTGACCTTCCAAGGAGCTGACCTTCTTCAGAACCGAATTACCAGCACTGACGTTTGGGTAACTGGCCACCTAAAATGACCATCGCCATACCCCAATTACAATCACTGACCTTTCATGGAACTGACCATCTGCAGAACAAGATGACAAGCATTGACCTTATAGGAAACTGACCGCCACAATAAATGACGGATTCTAGAGTATTTATCCAAGAAAATGTATCCATGTCTAAACAATGGCTTCTATTGGCATTCTGACTAGATCAACACATTAGATAAACATCTGACCAAATCCTACGAACCTCTTATAACCGGTGAACAACTGACCACCATTACTGACCCTCTATAACTAGTGAACACCTGACCAGCAGTACTGACCTCTTATAACTAGTGAACACATGACCAGCAGTACTGACCTCTTAATACTAGTGAACAACTGACCAGCACTACTGACCTCTTATAACTAGTGAACACCTGACCAGCAGTACTGACCCCTTATAAGTAGTGAACACCTGAACAGCACTACTGACCCCTTATAAGTAGTGAACACCTGAACAGCACTACTGACCCCTTATAACTAGTGAACACCTGACCAGCAGTACTGACCCCTTATAAGTAGTGAACACCTGAACAGCACTACTGACCCCTTATAAGTAGTGAACACCTGAACAGCACTACTGACCCCTTATAAGTAGTGAACACCTGACCAGCACTGCAGACCTTATATAACTAGTGAACACCTGACTAGCAGTACTGACCTGTTATAAATAGTGACACCTGACTAGCACTGCAGAGCTCTTATAACTAGTGAACACCTGACCAGCACTACTGACCTCTTATAACTAGTGAACACCTGACTAGCAGTACTGACCTCTTATAACTAGTGAACACCTGACCAGCACTACTGACCTCTTATAACTAGTGAACACCTGACTAGCAGTACTGACCTCTTATAACTAGTGAACACATGACCAGCACTGCAGACCTCATATAAATAGTGAACACCTGACCAGCACAACTGACCTCTTATAACTAGTGAACACATGACCAGCATTACTGACCTCTTATAATTCGTGAACACCTGACTAGCAGTACTGACCACTTATAACTAGTGAACAACTGACCAGCACTACTGAACCCTTATGATAAAATGACCTGACAAGCATTGACCTTATAAGAAACTGACCGCCACAATAAATGATGGATTCTAGAGTATTTATCCTAGAAAATGTATCCATGTCTAAAAATGGCTTCTATTTACATTCTGACTAGATCAACACATTAGATAAACATCTGACCAAATCCTACGGACCTCTTATAACTGGTGAACCCCTGACCACCAGTACTGACCCTCTCTAACTAGTGAACACCTGACTAGCACTACTGACCTCTTATAACTAATGAACACCTGGCCAGCACTACTGACCTCTTACAACCACTGAACACTTGACCAGCAGTACTGACCCCTTATAACTAGTGAACAACTGACCAGCAGTACTGACCTCTTATAGTTAGTGAACACCTGACCAGCACTACTGACCTCTTATAACTAATGAACACCTGGCCAGCACTACTGACCTCTTATAACCAGTGAACACCTGACCAGCACTACTGACCTCTAATATTTGGTGAACACTTGACCAGTAGTACTGACCCCTTATAACTAGTGAACACCTGATCAGCACTACTGACCCCTTATAACTAGTGAACACCTGACCAGCACTACTGATCTCTTATAACTAGTGATCACCTGACCAGCACTACTGACCTCTTATAACTAGTGAACAACTGACCAGCACCACAGACCCCTTATGATAAAATGTTAACAACTGACCAACACTAATGACTTCTTATGATTACATAAACCACTGACCAATACTACTGCCCCTTACATCAACAACTGACCAATACTACTGTCCCTTTCATCAACAACTGACCAATACTACTGCCCCTTTCATCAACAACTGACCAATACTACTGGCCCGTTTCACCCCTTTTATGAACAACTGACCGATACTACTGGCCCCTTTCATCATCAACTGACCAATACTACTGGCCCCTTTCATCAACAACTGACCAATACTACTGGTCCCTTACATCAACAACTGACCAATATTACTGGTCCCTTTCATCAACAACTGACCAATCCTACTGGTCCCTTACATCAACAACTGACCAATACTACTGGCCCCTTACATCAACAACTGACCAATACTACTGGCCCCTTTCATCAACAACTGACCAATACTACTGGCCCGTTTCACCCCTTTCATGATCAACTGACCAACACTACTGGCCCGTTTCACCCCTTTCATGAACAACTGACCAATACTACTGGCCCCTTACATCAACAACTGACCAACACTACTGGTCCCTTTCATCATCAACTGACCAATACTACTGGCCCCTTTCATCAACAACTGACCAATAATACTGGTCCCTTTCATCAACAACTGACCAACACTACTGGCCCCTTTCATCAACAACTGACAAATACTACTGGTCCCTTACATCAACAACTGACCAATACTACTGGTCCCTTATATCAACAACTGACCAATACTACTGGCCCCTTACATCAACAACTGACCAATACTACTGGCCCCTTAGATCAACAACTGACCAATACTACTGGCCCCTTAGATCAACAACTGACCAATACTACTGGCCCCTTACATCAACAACTGACCAATACTATTGGCCCCTTACATCAACAGCTGACCAATACTACTGGTCCCTTACATCAACAACTGACCAATTCTACTGGCCCCTTACATCAACAGCTGACCAATACTACTGGCTCCTTCCATCAACAACTGACCAATCCTACTGGTCCCTTACATCAACAACTGACCAATTCTACTGGCCCCTTTCATCAACAACTGACCAATACTACTGGCTCCTTTCATCAACAACTGACCAACATTGACTATCCAACTACTGGTGAAACATTTCAACATAAGAAGTCACCCAGAAAAAGAAATGACCATTTCTGACCTCTGGGAGAACCAAATGACCATAACTACTGACCTTTTAATGATCCATTCCTCTTCAATGTAATTGACCCAGACATTAGTACTGACAAGTCATCCCCATGTAAAATAATATAGTGATCATTTGTATCATGTATTGATCAGCTGTCGTGGGATGGACACCAAGGTTGCTGTTGGTGATTTTGTAGGAATATTGAACAAGTGATAATAAATTCTAACTGTTTATTAATGGAGTTGTTGTATCAGGTGATTATCATAATAGTAGGAACACTGCACATATTAGTAAATGATGAAACGTGGTTTTAATTGTATATGATAAATAACTGATATTAACTATTATAAGCGTTTTGAATACAAATTTTGAAGTGCTTGAATACCATGCAAGTAACATCACAGGAACTTGACAGTTTACACATACATGAACGAAGTATACTTGAATAATAAACAAGACCATATTTGCAAAGTAGTTCTTTAGATGTAAACTAACCATAACTTCCTTGATGGTAGCACCATAGTATTTGTATTTTGTTTTTTTAAATTATGAAAGCAACTTAAATGTATGTACATATTGTAGTTGTGAGAAGTTCGAATATGAAACACAACGACAAACATATATTTCATTGAATTTATCTTGAACAGCCAGTGTATATAATTTCCCTATAAATATCTTTTATTGAATGATGAAAAGTATAATTTGCAGTTCGTACAACCACGGACTTACATACACATATAAGTCCGTGGTACAACATTGTTTAATAATGTTCAACTAAATATACAATACCTAATATATGCAAACGTACGTATTAATTAAAGTCTTTCGAGTAAAACAGTGATTTTTTTATTTCTGTTCAGATGCAAACAAAGCCCAGAAATAACACATTTATAAAATAAAGCATGACTTAATAACGTCTGAATTGTACATATTGCTGACAAAATTGACTAAGACCGGATTCGGATTAGCGCGCTTATATCTCAATTCACATACCAACACTAAATCAATCGCTTTCGAATGTTCAATAGATCCAACGAAATGTCATTCAGTATTTATACATATTCACTAGTTAGCACGCGCTGTCGTATAAATTCACCAATGTGCAGCTCGCCATTTTGTCCTGATCACATGATCGACTACCTTTAATATGGGCGAGTCTACCCCTCGCCTGCTTTTGTGACTCATATGTTGTCGGACTGTTCATAGTAAACACAGGACTAGCAAGCTGATGTGTATGATTCCTACTCGGCAGTGGACACCACACAAGAAGCAATTGTTTTTACGGACAATACGACTCGGTCGAGTTCACTGACAGTCTTGTTAGCACACCTCTGTAACCCGCGGGCAATATGGTATCGTCTTTCAATATACGATGCATTTGGGTATGATAATAATAAGGCGACTGTAGTGCGAGTATGGCGGGAGCTAAACCTGGTGTTCACGCTGTTCAGTTAAGGCCGATCTGCGTACCAGAGTCGCTTATCAAGGGCCTGAAATTCATCAGATGGGATGAGGTAAGATTTCAGTCCCTACGTCATTTAATTTGTGCTTTTAGCCTTTACAGACATGCCCATTACGTATGACCCCGGTTGTGTTTTTGACGGAAGTCCTACAACACCATGCTTATATATAAACATTGACGGGACCTGTCAGACTTCTATGACATACAAAATACAGAGCCTGTTTTATCGTATTCATAGTAAATGATGCATATACGAACGGCTTACAGCGGGTCGTTTATTGGAGATAAATGCAGTGATTTGACGACCGTCGTTAGCAATTTACACGGGAAAGATGTGAGAAGCAGTGGTTTGTACCAAGCTAGTGAGATCGATCTCTATAACGCTGACCTGGTATAGTGTCTACGGTATACGGTAAACAATCTAACGCATATGTGCGACTGAATAGGGTCCAATACACAGCCCCAGCTCCCTCATCAAATTAGACAGTAAACATACATGTATATCCGAACTAACGCAAGGCACATTGTAGCTATGTCCATCTGTTTACATGTAGTGACCAATAAACCTGTCACACGTGTACATGCGAGATACAATGTCTAGCACAAACACAGAATTGTATCTAAAACACGTGTGATGCACACCCAAACGTAAATATTTTGGTTACTCCCCCCTTATTAGATTTAGTGGTCACGCATAGAGCCTACTGCAAGACATTCTTTCGCACCACCTCCCAAAATAAACATGACCCATTTCAGAAATAATTATTTTTACTTTATAAATGTTTATATATTAAGTCTTTTTTGACAGCCCATAAAAAAGAACTCTGTTTAGTCACATAGATAGTCCTTAGTTGCGATTGATGTACTCATATTAGATTTGCCTTAACTCTCCAATTGCCCTGCATCCTCTTGAGTATCTAAACGCAGGACATGCATCACCACTTGGCGTTGGCTGCACGTTTTTAGTGTTCTAATTAAGAATTGGATACAGTATAACCAAATCACATACCAAACTCCATCGTAGAGGTGTTTTGTGCTTCAGTTGGACTTGTTAATGATATCAGATAAGGGTCTAAATATCGAAACCTAGATGGTGATGGAGGAAAATCAGAATTGACCAAATTGTTTTTTTAAGGAGCATTGTACCAATAACAATATGTTTCCTAAGAATAAAGACAGCAGCAAAATTATCAAATATCAATAACCAAGTTCTTTTTATCTTGCCTCTCGTAGAAATTTTGAACTGTAAAGCTTTTAGATTTTAGGTCTTGTCGAAAGTAAGCGGATATTGCAGTTGTTTTACAACTGTTCACTACTATGCAATAGAGCATATTATTGAAAAAATTAGCACTATATATTGTTCCTTAGTTTGTGATTTATTGGTAAAACAGATCATAGATAGTTTTTGTTTGTAAGTTGAGTTGGGGCTATTGTGGCTGAGTGGTTAAGGTGTCTGATTGTCTTATCACTAGCCTCTGGGTTGTGGGTTTGTGGCTTATGTAGTGCCGTCGCCAGGTACTGACCACAGGTTGGTGTTTTTACCCAGGGAACTCAGGCTTTCCTCCAGCTCCCAATGATTGATCCTTTTATATGCTGCATTTCACCAACAAGAGAAGAGAGAATGTCTCACTGATAAATCTATTATCATGCAGTATGGTTCCTCTACATTTTGTGATTTTTTTTCTTTGTAGGCTGTTTATTGAAATTAATGGTACACGCTCCTTAGAATGTATTCATAGAAAGATAAGATTTCCTCAGATTCTTCAGTCAGATAACTGGCATTCAAATTGATAAATTCTCAGTTTGATTTCATAGTTTTGAAATGTTTTAAGTAGAAATTATATAATGCCTACCATAGATCATCGTGAACAAAATGATTATCATCTTTCCATATTTACTGTTTTAGTATTGGTGATTTTCTTAAACCCTGATCACAGTTTTTTATTAGGGTCTTTTTGGGGCCAGTAATGGGTCCCATTCCTTTTCTTGTTAAAAAAATATTTTCAAATTTAAGACAAATTCCCAAAATTTGCCATCGACCCCAGAAAATTCCCTGCCAATTCACCAATATTCTTCATAGAATTAGGCAAAACTATCTAATATCAAACCATTAAAAAAAGCCCTGCATATCTTCCATCATTTTGTATCTGTCTGGATCATATACATATATTTCTTCTTGTTATTATCCGATCTTTTTCTCTTTCAACTCCATAGGTGATTTTTCTGTATTTTATGCACTTATATGTTGCCTTTTATTATCCTGTTTCTTTCCATGGGATAATGGGAGATCACTCTTCCCTTTCCATGTTTCTGTTACTTTGTTTCAGATGTTTGGGATCTCCAATCCCTTACTTCTATTATGGGTGATGGAGAATCTCCAATGCCCTTACTTTGTTTCTGGGTTGTTGGGAATCACTCATCCCCGTACTTCATTTCAGGTTTTTGGGAATCACCCATCCATTACATGTTTCTGGTTTTTTGGGAATCACCCATCCATTATTTGCTTCTAGTTTTTTGGGAATCACCCATCCATTATTTGCTTCTGGGTTGTTTGGAATCACCCATCCATTACTTGTTTCTGGGTTGTTGGGAATCACCCATCCATTACTTGTCTCTGGGTTGTTGGGAATCACCCATCCATTACTTGTTTCTGGGTTGTTGGGAATCACCCATCCATTACTTGTCTCTGGTTTGTTTGGAATCACCCATCCATTACTTGTCTCTGGGTTGTTTGGAATCACCCATCCATTACTTATTTCTCAGTTGTTTGGAATCACCCATCCATTACTTATTTCTCGGTTGTTTGGAATCACCCATCCATTACTTGTGTCTGGGTTGTTTGGAATCACCCATCCATTACTTGTCTCTGGGTTGTTTGGAATCACCCATCCATTACTTATTTCTCGGTTGTTTGGAATCACCCATCCATTACTTGTTTCTGGGTTGTTGGGAATCACCCATCCATTACTTGTTTCTGGGTTGTTGGGAATCACCCATCCATTACTTGTCTCTGGTTTTTTTAGGAATCACCCATCCATTACTTGTTTCTGGGTTGTTGGGAATCACCCATCCATTACTTGTTTCTGAATTGTTTGGAATCACCCATCCATTACATGTTTCTGGGTTGTTCGGAATCACCCATCCATTACTTGTTTCTGGTTTTTTGGGAATCACCCATCCATTATGTGCTTCTGTTTTTTTGGGATCACCCATCCATTACTTGTCTCTGTTTTTTTTAGGAATCACCCATCCATTACTTGTCTCTGGGTTGTTTGGAATCACCCATCCATTACTTGTCTCTGGGTTGTTTGGAATCACCCATCCATTACTTGTCTCTGGGTTGTTTGGAATCACCTATCCATTACTTGTTTCTGGATTGTTTGGAATCACCCATCCATTACTTGTTTTCTGGGTTGTTTGGAATCACCCATCCATTACATGTTTCTGGATATTTGGGGAATCACTCATCCCTTTACTTTGTCTCTGGGTTTTTGGAATCACCCATCCATTACTTTTTTTTCTGGGTTGTTTGGAATCACCCATCCATTACATGTTTCTGGATATTTGGGGAATCACTCATCCCTTTACTTTGTCTCTGGGTTGTTGGGAATCATCCATTCCTTACTTCTTTTCTTTTCCAGGTTTTTGGGATTCACCAATCCCCTTACTTTGTTTCTGGGTTGTTGGGAATTACCTTTCTCCTTACTTTGCCTGGGTTGTTAGGAATCACCTATCCCTGAGTTTTAGGTTGTTGGGAATAATCTATTCTCTACCTTTAGCTTTTTTTATGGGGTGAGGCATCAGAACATACTATTTAGTGTCCTGTACCTTGTTTCAGATGTTTTGATAACCTCACTTTCTCCTTCCTTGTTTTTCAAGAGATGGAGAAAAATCCATTACCACCCTTGATTATTGGATGATGGGAAACCTACCCTTTCCTTTTTGCTTATCAGTCCCCTTTTTTTGTCACTCACCCGCATTCTGTCTTCTTATGTGTTTAAGAAATAGGTAATAGGTTGTAGCATGGTCCCCGCTGACACTCGCCGTCTTCAATACTTTCCTAATGGGTGTTACCGTATACCCATTGCAGCCTCTGGCTAATACCAGTGCATTAGAAACCAGCTACCTCTGTAAGAGACATAGTAATGGTGCGTGCTACCTGCTCTAGCACTTTAAGCATCTGTACCAACTTAGTTTCTTTCTGCCAAAGTACATATACCTGTATATTATAGGACATAATGCATTATTTGATCAACCAGGAAAAGTCATTCTGTAGGCAGTAAGATGGGACTTTAACAAAATTTGCCTCATACATAGAAACACAAAGAAAAAATGTGATTCAGAAGGGAAAGGGTAAAGTGCTTCAGTAGCTTTAGTGCATACTATATATATACCATTTTAAATCCCCCTCCCTTCCCATTCTTATGTGTTGAGGTATTTGAGACATGAAATGATCTTCATGATGACATATTCAATTTTACAGACCCATACAGAAGTGATAGTAAAATATTATGTAATATGGAAAATATACGTGTAATTTGATATGCTGAAGAATGATTGGATGAATAATTTGTATTTTAGAAATCTTTGTCGTTCTACAATGATGTGATTCTATGTTAAAAATGGCTTTCTGATTCTGACATAAAGTCTGATAATTGATGTAGCCTTACAAAGTATCAAACAAATGTACAATGTGTGGACCAGCTCTCTTGAAAGAACATCAGCGTTTGATTAGTAAGAGAAAAGCTCTGCTGATGTATCATCTTACATAGGTTATTTGGTATGACAATGTTGTAAAATCTACCATATTTTCCAGGTTATAATCCGCAGAGCTGAATTTTACTGATTTTTTCGATTTGATCTCCATATAAGCTGCACTGGAATGAAAGCCACACGTCTGACTCATGAGAAAAAAAAATTGTGGCTTATAATCCAGAAAATATGGTAGATAGGAAAATGCATTGTTACATAATAATGTGTCCTATATTGGTACATATTGATGTGTCCTACATTGGTACATATTGATGTGTCCTACATTGGTATACATTGATG